GCTGTCACCGTGTCCCTGCTCTGGGGGCTCCATAAATGGTGTCATGGCTCCATCGTGTGCTGTGTGTGCTGGAAGGAAGGGGTGTGGTGCAAATGACCAAAGAAGCTCTTGGTCTCTCTGGTTTCTCAGGCATCCCTGATGGCTGGGGGAGTTCTGTGCTGGCTCTCTCCTGTGCTCTTCCCTAGGCATCTCCTGTGGGCCCTTGCTAGAGGCAGAAGGCTGAGCTAGAGGGAGCTCTGGGCCAAGGTACTGCAGCCTGTGATCTGTGCTGCAGGAAGTTCTGGTGATGGCTGTGCTTCCAGCCCTGCCTCCTACCAAGTGCCTGCACTCCTGACACACCTAAACAAGCATTCTGCTTTGTAAAGCACTGATCACTCATTTACTGTGTGCATTTACTTAACACAGCCCACTTCTTCAGCAGCATTGCTTTGCTGAGGGTCTGTCATGCAAAGCCACCTGCTACCAAAACAGATTTTTTGGGAAAAGGGGAAAGTGCAATGGTAAATCCACATAAAATCCCTGCCATCCTCACCTCTGATAGCCGCTGTGCTGAGTCCATGCACAGTGGGGTTTTTTTGCATTGATTTGCTTTTGATTTGGTCATCACCTTTTAATACGTGCTGGGGTGTTTGCAGTCACTTTGTATGTAAGACCTGTCACGTGCTGGGTTTTTGCTACTGATAAATCTGTGCTTCAGATCTGGGGGATGTCTTGGAAGCTTCTGTGACTCACTGGAATCAGTGTTGCTGGTGACTGTCCTTCACAAACCTGATCACCCCTCCCTGCTTGTGCTGGTCAGGGAGAGACAATCCCATGGATGGGTGGTGGGCCAGCTCAGTGCTTCCTTGGGGATCTCTTTGCCAGAGTTTGTTTCTTTGCAGGAGTGGAACCCTCATTACTTTGTGCTGACCAGCAGCAAGATCTATTACTCTGGGGAGACAACCAGTGACCAAGGAAATGAGGATGAGGAAGAGCAGAAGGAGGTGAGGGCTGTCCTGTGTGGCAGTGAGTTGTTCCCGTAAGGAAAGGACCTGACTGCCCAAGGGGCTGAGCATTACCACTGCCAGCTGCCTTCAGGGGGAGATCCTGTGCTGGGAACGATGGGAGCTGCTTCAGAAACTCCCTGGTCCTGGTTGGTAGACCCCTGAGCAGACTCCAGCATCACAACTCAGTAACCCAAGGTGGTGGGTTTTCCCCCTTCCAGGTGAGCAACAGCACCGAGCTTCACTCCACAGAGAAGTGGTTCCACGGGAAGCTGGGAGCGGGCCGTGACGGGCGGCACATCGCGGAGCGGCTGCTCACCGAGTACTGCATCGAGACGGGGGCCCCCGACGGCTCCTTCCTCGTCAGGGAGAGCGAGACCTTTGTTGGGGACTACACCCTCTCCTTCTGGTGAGACCCTGGCTGCCCCGTGCCGCTCCGGGGGTAGTTTCCTCTCGGTTCTGTGTTCAGTGGTGGGGTCACGTTCCCTGGTGGTCTGTGAGCAGGTTTCTCCCCTTTTTCTGAGCCCCAGCACCACGTCAGCTCCCTGTCCCAGTGCAGAAGGGTCAAGTCCTTTGGGATCCTTAGGCAATCACTCTCCTGTGGGGCAGGAATTCTGTCTCAGGCTGTTGCTGTGCCTGAGGCAGGTGCAGAATCTCTCTGTGGACAACCCTGGCTTACCCCCTCCCTCTTGCACAGGCGCAACGGGAAGGTGCAGCACTGCCGGATCCACTCACGGCAGGATGCCGGCAGCCCCAAGTTCTTCCTGACGGACAACCTGGTGTTCGACAGCCTCTACGACCTCATCACCCACTACCAGGGGGTGCCACTGAGGTGCAACGAGTTTGAGATGAGGCTGACAGAGCCGGTGCCACAGACCAATGCCCATGAGAGCAAAGAGTAAGTGTGTGTTTAGGGAGGAGAGGTTGTGTCTGTTGGGTTGCTGGGACCCTGGGGGAAACCCTCCCAGATCTCTCCTCAGCCATTCCCCTCTTGCGGGGACTTTCTGGTCCTCCCTTTCTCCCCGTGGAGCTCTGTCACAGCAGCCCTGCTGGCCAGCTCTGTTGTGCATGGAGCTAATTGTTGTGGAGTCTCAGTGCAAAGCAGAGGTACTGGGCTTGCTTGGGATACCCTCGCCCATGCCACGCATCACCGAAGGGCTCTGCCCCATTCCAGTGTCATGGATAGGATGTTCTCTGCTCCCTGTCCTCCTTTTGAGGATTCAGGCAGCCTTTTAGGGGCTGAGGGGAAGGTGTGTTCCATGGCAGAGTTGTGGGATGAGCTGGATGTGTGGAGGCCTGTGCAGGGTGACGTGTCTCTCCTGACAGGTGGTACCACGCCAACCTCACCCGGGCCCAGGCCGAGCACATGCTGATGCGGGTGCCCCGCGACGGAGCCTTCCTGGTGCGCAAGAGGAGCGAGCCCAGCTCCTACGCCATCTCCTTCAGGTGTGTCCCTGGGGAGGGGTGACGGGTGCGGGAGGTGTGGCTGGGATGCTGTGGTGGGTGGGAGAGCTGGACAGAGGCCATCAGCCGGACATGAGCCCTCCCAGAGCTCCTCTTGTTCCCATGTGGTCATGGATAAGTCCTGTAGCCCCCTGAGAGCCCTTAGGGCCCTGCTCCTCCTCCCATCCTCCGATGGAAGATGACTTTGCTCAGCCATCAGCCCAGGGGCGCCTTTTCCTAGGGCATTTTTATTTTGGCAGAGACTTTCTCGTGCCAGGTGCCAAGTGGCTTCTTCTTTCCTCCTTCCAGGGCAGAAGGGAAGATCAAGCACTGCCGGGTGCAGCAGGAGGGCCAGACTGTGCTGCTGGGCAACTCTGAGTTTGAGAGCCTGGTGGACTTGATCAGCTACTACGAGAAGCACCCGCTGTACCGCAAGATGAAACTGCGGTACCCCATCAACGAGGAGACGCTGGAGAAGATCGGCACTGCGGTGAGCGTGGCAGCCACTGGGAGAGCTCAGCCACACAGTGATGGACAGGTCGTTTCTGAGCTGGTGCCTTGGTGTGTGAGCCATCCCTGTGCTCCACAGCCCTCACCTCTTGGGGCTTTGTGCCGCTTACTGGCACTGCCCCTCGGAGCCAGGCTGGCAGGGAGTGTGGGCTTGGGCTGCTGTTTGCCACGTGCAGCATCATCTTTGGTCTTGTGCCTTCCCTGGGGTGCTCTCCCTCCCTGCCCCAAGGCAGGACACCTGTCACTGCTGTAACCACTGTCCCTTTGCTTCCACAGGAGCCGGACTACGGAGCCCTGTATGAGGGACGCCACCCCGGGTTCTATGTGGAAGCCAACCCCATGCCCACCTTCAAGGTATGCTATGAGTGCTTGGGATGGGACAACCTGCAAGGCCTGAGGGTTGGCAAGTGTCTCTGTGTTTCATTTTCCAAGAGCTGGGTTATTTTGCACACTCATTTTTAGATTATGAGGGGAGAAATGCTGGAGGTTGAACCTGCAGGTTCCCAGGCTGGGCTGCCTCTTCTTCTGAGCTCTCCAAATTCAATCCATCAGTGGCTGTGGGGTAAAGGAAAGTGCTTGTGTGGGGCCATACCAGATTTGTGAGCTCTGCTTTGGTGTAAATGGGGCCTTGATTTGTTCTGCAGGGTGTCAGTTGGGGTTGGCAGCAATGCTGGATGCTGCTTGCACACAAGGTGCCTCACAGCCCCCCCAACAAACACATCTGTGGTGGGAAGTGATCTCATCCTGTGGGCTCGTTGTCCGTGTGTCCTTCCCCTGCCCAGCCTCATGGGACCCTCCTCCTTGCAGTGTGCAGTCAAAGCCCTGTTCGACTACAAGGCCCAGCGGGAGGACGAGCTCACCTTCACCAAAAATGCCATCATCCAGAATGTGGAGAAACAGGAAGGAGGCTGGTGAGTGGGGGCTGAGCCTCCCTTTTCCCTCAGGGATGTGGTCAAACCTTGCTGTCACCATCTATACAAAGGTGTGTTCTCTCCAGGAGTGGGTCTGTCTGGGAATTGCCCACAAGCTGCACAGTCCCAAAGTCTCGGGAACCCTAAAAGCAGATAATGGAGGAGCTGTCTGTCCCCCTGACCCCCACTCAGGATGCTCTGGGGTCCCATGGCAGGTGCTGATGCTGCCCCTTCCTTCCCTTCCAGGTGGAGAGGAGATTATGGTGGCAAGAAGCAGCTGTGGTTCCCTTCCAACTATGTGGAGGAAATCACCAGTCCCAGTAGCCTGGAGCCAGAGCGGGAGGTATGTCCATGAGTGGGGCAAGGAGGGCTGGTGCCCCTCGAGCTTGGCTGCTATGCCCAGCACCATGCCCAGCACCATGTCCAGCACCATGCCCAGCACCATCCTGCCTGTGCTTCCTTCCCAGCAGCAGCTGGATGAGAACAGCCCCCTGGGAGACCTGCTCGGAGGTGTCCTGGACGTGCCTTCGTGCCAGATCGGTGAGTGCCAGGGAGAGAGCATTACAAAGGCCCCTTGAGGCTTCTCAGCCCCCTGGGGATACACTCTGCATCCTCACCTGTCACTTCCTGGGCTCCAGTGACCAGAAATGGGACCTTCTTGTAGCTGAAGAGTCCTGGGTCAGCCCTGAGCCCCTGCGTCTGTCCTCTCCCTTCCTCCCTCTGCTCTGTGAAGGGCTTGGCTCAGCAGCTGCTGTGACCTTGCCCTGTGCCCCTGTCCCCACGCAGCCATCCGCCCCGAGGGGAAGAACAACCGGCTCTTCGTGTTCTCCATCAGCATGTCCTCGGTGTCGCGCCTGTCCCTCGACGTGGCGGCCGACACGCACGAGGACCTGCTGGACTGGGTGAAGAAGATCCGGGAGGCAGCTCAGACAGCTGATGCACGGGTGAGCCTGCAGAGACGTCTCCCTGCCAAGTGCTGGGTTTTCCAGGAGCTGAGGAGTAGGCAGAGGCTGGCGGGGGGGTGGTGAGGTGGCAGTGTGTGATGGATGGCAGAGCAGTGACAGAGATGACAAAGGCAGAGCAAGCTTTGACAATATGGTGAGGGGTGGTGGCCGTGTGTTACGGCTTGAGAGGTTCAGGCTGGATATCTGGGAAGATCAGACAACTGGGAGGGTGCTGCAGCCTTGGGAGGTGGGGGATCTCCATCCATGGAAGGTGGCAAGGCCACAGCTGCCCTGCCCTGCCCTGCTCCAGGCAGGAGGCAGGACCCACCAAGGGCCCTTCCCATGGGGGTTTTGTGGTGTCCCCCAATGCAGACCTGGCAGACGTGCTAGTGGTTCCCACAGCACGAGCAGGAACAGCCACACCAAGCAGTGTGGGTCAGTTTATGAGCTGGCTTGTCCAACACCACTGCTCCTACCTGGCCTGACACCTCTGTCACCCTCTCTTGGCAGCTCTCTGAAGGGAAGATGATGGAGAGGAGGAAGAAAATTGCCCTGGAGCTTTCTGAGCTGGTGGTCTACTGCCGACCTGTGCCCTTCGATGAAGAGAGTGAGCATCTGCCGGGCTGGGGCCACCACAGGCACTCACCATGGCATCACCCACCCCGTGGTGTGCCCCGAGGGGCTGCTTTGGCTAGATCTCAGCAGAGGCCAGGTCTCCAAGGTGTCCAAAGCACCAGTTTGCTTTGGAGCTCTGGAAACATCCTTTTGCAGAGGGTGGAAGTTCTGTTCCCCATCCTTCTGTTGCTCATATCTGTCACCATCCAGAGCAGCTGCTGATGGACTGGGGTTGGGGAGCATCGTGCCTGATCACCAAGAGCTGTGTCAGTGCTTTCAGCCATTGATGTTAGGCCCCTGGAAAACACTCCCCAGGTCAGAGTAGGGTCTGCACTGCTGTGATGTCTGAGCCAGGGGTGGGAGGATGGTGTCAGGAAGGAGCCAGTCAGGGTGCTTGAAATGTCTGAAAAGGGAATGTTCTTCTGGCTTACACAGTGCTGTCTCCTCCCAGAGATCGGCACAGAGAGGGCCTGTTACCGAGATATGTCCTCCTTCCCCGAGACCAAGGCGGAAAAGTACGTCAACAAGATCAAAGGCAAGAAGTTCCTGCAGTACAACCGCCTGCAGCTCTCCCGCATCTACCCCAAGGGCCAGCGCCTCGACTCCTCCAACTACGACCCCCTGCCCATGTGGATCTGTGGCAGCCAGCTGGTAGCACTCAACTTCCAGACCCCAGGTGAGGGCAGCAGGCAGGGGAGGTGGGTGGGTTCCTGGGGTGCCCGGTGTCTCCTCTGAGCCACCTGCCTGCACCCCTGCTAACCTGCTCCTGGCAAATGGGAGGTCTAGGAGGGGCTCTGGGTCTAGGAGGGGCTCTGCAGGCAGCAAGACCCAGTGTTCATGTCCAGGCATGTGGTTGCTGCAGGGGAAATGTGCTCCTGAGGGCTGGATTGACCCAGGGAGCTGGGCTGAGCCAGAGGGTTGTGCCACAAGAGCAAGATGAGATGGAGAGGAGGCAGGGAGTTTTCCCAGGTCCCTGGTGACAAGGAGGGCAGGCAGGGAAGGTGCCAAAGGGGATGGTGCAGCCCCAGCTTTGGGACTCCAGCTGGTTGCAGGGTTAGACACCAGCTGGATGCATGGTCTGGGTCCAGCTGGCTGCTCCTCTTGCCTTTCCCCAGCTTCCATTCCTGCTCCTGCCGTGCAGTCCAACCTTCCTCTTTCCCTGGCCCTTGCCAAGCCCTGCTGTGAGCCTGTTCAGCTCACCCACACACCAGCAAACGACCTGCCTCTTTTTTCCTGCTGGCTTTTTCATTCCTTTTGTGAATTCAAGCATCTCACAGGGCGGTTTGGCAAACACTAGAGTCAGCACAGGGAAAGCTGAAGGGAGAGGGAGGAAAAGGAGGAGGTGACCCATGGAGCACTGGGTAGTTGGGCAGATCCTGCATAAGAAGATCACCCCATGTCCCCAGCACGTGCACAGGGCAGTGAGGTCATGGAGCACAGGATGGGCCAGGTCCCCTTGCCAAGGGCTTCCTGTGAGGGACCAATAATCCAAGTGATCCAGCTTGTGAAAAGGGCACAGGGCCTCTTCCATCTCCTCCATCTCCCGCCTGTGCTCTCCAGACAAGCCCATGCAGATGAATCAGGCCTTGTTCATGTCCAGTGGCCAGTGTGGGTACGTCCTGCAGCCAACCAACATGCGAGATGACATCTTTGACCCCTTCGACAAGGGCACGCTGCGAGGCATCGAGCCGCTCTCCATCTCCATTGAGGTCAGTACTGCTCCCGCTGTGGGGAGGGATTCCATCCGGGTGGTTATACCAGACTTGGGGTGATAAAATGTATTTTCTGGGTTCCTGGCTCTGCCTGCAGCTGCTTGCTCCTCACCAAACCCCTCAGCCCTTCCCTAGAGCTGTCCCACAGCACAGGCTTGGAGAGCCCTCACTGAAGAGGGAGACCCGCGAGTGTTGCTGAGGGTACCTGGAAAGGACCATCCGGAGCATCCCTGGATGCTCCCCCGGGACCCCTCCTGCGCAGGGCCCAGTGCCAGCAGGTGGCATCCATGAGCTGCTGAGGTGGCATCCCTGTGCCCAGAGCCTGGCCAGCTCCAGCGGGATAACACAGGAGCTGTGCCTGGTCCCCTCCTTGTCACTCAGTCCCTCCGGGCTCGAGGTGTCCATGACCCCTTGGCTTGTGGCCCCTCAGGGGAAGATGCTCAAGGACAGAGCATCTTTTCACCCTGTTTTCTGTGTTGCACTGCTGGTGATGATAAGAGGAGGGGTGGCTGTGGATGAGGGGTGCCAGAGGGTGGGCTGGGGGTACTGGGTGAATCTTTTTCTTCCCGGATGGTGGTTCTGAAGCAGGGAGCTGCACCACAGGGGCTCCGCAGGGGTATTGGACAGCTTGCGAGGCAAAGCTCCTGGAGGGCTGTGACAAAGCAGGTGGCTCTCATGTTTGGAGCAGTGGTGTCCTGTACAGGCATCCGTGGTGATCCTGGAACCGAGCTGTGGGTCAGTCTCCTTTGCCAGTCCCTTCACCTCATGCAGACCTTGGGGAGGATGCAGTGGAGATCTTGCCTTTAGGTGCTCACAAGTTTCCTCTGAGGCCACCTGTTTCAGTGTCCCACCTAAGCCACAGTCTTCCCTATGAGGAAACCCCATCATGTCCTATCTGCACCATTGATGCCATATCCACTGTCTCCCTAAAACCCCTGGCACTGTTTCCCTTTACCACCTGTTTTCCCAGCTCTTTCTGCATCTCAGAATGCAGCTGCAATCAGCAGGTGTCAAGAGTCATTGTACCATAGCCAGTCACTGTCGCCTTTAAGAGATGGGCTCAGCCTTTTGTCCTCTGGCAAAACTGCCCATGTCCCCACCAAAGCCAGCTTTCACGGATGGAGAAGCCGTCTCGAGCCCAGCATGACTCAAAGCACATGATCCAGTGTTGGCAGCATGTCCTTCCTCTGCAACAGCAGCGTGCCGACAGCACGCTGGAGCGACATATGGCCACCGGCAAGAGGGAGCTGCGCTGGCTTTCTCCTGCGAGGAAGCAGGTTGTCATTGGAGTTGGGCACAGACTGTGCTATGATTAGGAGGCAGAGCAGTGAGGGAGAGCAGCTCCTTTTCATCCTCACACTGAGGCAGGAGGGCCGAGAAGTTTCAGCAAAGAAGAGGGTGTCCAGCGTAGCACTCCAGGCAGGGAACGGCACTCGGCTTGGAGCCCAGTTCCAGCTTGGCAGGCTGGGGGAGGGATGGTGTGGCCCAGGCCTGGCTGTGCAGGCAGTAGGCAGGAACCTGGGGCAGTTTTTTTTATGGCTTACAGGTCAGACTGGTGATAGCAGCTTCCAGGGGTGGGAGCTGTTTCTCTCCGAGAGGCTGTACTGGGCTGGCTGTCAGCGTCGCTTCTCTCTCCAATTAGCAGAGCCAGGGTGGCTTATTTGGAAAGGTGTCTTTTTTTCCCTTTGGTCCTGTCTCTTACCAAGTGTCTCCTGCTTTCTGCCCAGGTCCTGGGGGCTCGGCACCTTCCCAAAAATGGAAGAGGAATCGTTTGTCCTTTTGTGGAGGTGGAGGTGTCCGGCGCCGAGTATGACAATGCCAAGCAGAAAACCGAGATTGTGGGTGAGTGGGTTAGTGAAGGGAAGGGAGAGGGATGCACCAGCACTCCTGATCCTGCTGTGGGCCATGGGTGCTGCAGGAAAGCCTGGCCCTGGGCTGGGAGCTGCCCTTGTGCTGCCCCCAAGCTCAGCATCAGCTGTGGGGGAGGGGGGCTCAGCGGGGGCTGCCCACTGACAGCCGTGTCTCGTGAGCAGCGGACAACGGCCTGAACCCCCTCTGGACCCCGAAGCAGTTCCACTTCCAGGTCAGCAACCCTGACTTTGCCTTCCTCCGCTTTGTGGTGTACGAGGAGGACATGTTCAGCGATGAGAACTTCCTGGCTCAGGCCACCTTCCTGGTGAAAGGCTTGAAGACAGGTAAAGCGCTTGGGGAAGTGGGGAGGGTGGTCATGGTGGTCCTCACCAGTTCACATCATTAGCCAGGAAGATGCTGAGTTTCACGAGAGGATGTTGTCATGCCCCAGGCTGGCTCAGTCCATCCTGTCCCCATGACAGGTCACAGCCCCAGCGAGGTAAAGGAAGGCAGAAGCCATTTGCTAACAGCTCTTGGCATGACTGGGATGAGTTGGAGAGTCATGGAATCATAGAATGGTTTGGGTTGGAAGGGACCCTAAAACACCATCTCGTTCCAAACACCCTGCCATGGGCAGGAACACTTTCCACTGGACCAGGTTGCTCAAAGCCCCATCCAACCTGGTGGAAGCAAAGAAGGGTCTTATGGGAGAAGGACCCCCCTCTGACACTGACATGTGCCATGAGTGACACCAGGGCTGTCTCTGCTTTAGGTTTCCGAGCTGTTCCCCTGAAGAACAACTACAGTGAGAATTTGGAGCTGGCTTCCCTGCTGGTCAAGATAGACATTTTCCCTAGCAAGGTGAGGCTGGGGTCACACACGGGAAGGTGACTGTGCCACAGGGCTGAGGAGCAGAGGCAGTGAGTGAGCCCTGCCTGGCCCTGCCCACGCTCCTGCTTCAGTCAGGACAAGGCTCAGCTGTGCCTGGCCTGAATTCCCAATGCTGCTCCATAGTGATGCATGGTGGAAGGGCAAGTGCTGGGCTTGCCTCCTGCAGCAGTCGGGGTGTTTCAGGCAGGGTCCTGCCTGGACTGCGTTTGACTTGCCTGGAAATCCCTTCAGCAAAAGCTGGAGGAGGCGGATTTGCTCCATCCCAGTGCCTGTCTGCTCTCCAGGGAAGTTACAGCTCCGTATCACGGAGCTGGCTGGCCTGGGGCTGTCTGTGTTGGCATAAGTGGAGGGCAGGGCTGCTTCAGAGACAGATGGTTCTTTTATTTCTTCATTTTAAATGATGCTGGTGGGAGCCAGCAGTGGTTGTTAGAGCAGTTTCATATTGCAAACCCTAAGCCCCCGTGAGCCCTGGATGCACTGCGTGGCAGCTGCACCAGGACTGCCCTTACTGCAGGATGTACACTTTGAAATACCAATCCCTTGACTGCTGTGTTTTTTTCTTTCTGATCCAAGCAGGAGAATGGTGAAATAAACCTCTTCAATGCTTCAGCCCTACGGGAACGAGCAGGGGATGCCTCCAGTCAGCTGCTGTCAAGCAGAGGCAGAGAGGGGTCCTTTGAGTCGCGGTACCAGCAGCCTTTTGAGGATTTCCGGGTGTCACAGGAGCAGCTCGCTGACCACTTCGAGAGCCGGGAGCGAAGGTAATGGCAGTGCTCCTTCAGCTCCTCCCAGCAGACTCTGCTGCATGGAAACCCTAAATTTCAGCATGGAAGTTGTGCCAGTGCTTGGGGGAGTCGCTGCTTTGGGGTCTGTGGGAGTAGGGTGGGACAAGGAGCTGCCGCCCTGCAGCTGGTGCCACCTTCCCCAGGCATGGGAGATGGGGCTGAGCCCCCGCTCTCCCCCAGTGGGGTGACCTTAGAGAATGCCCTTGGTGACCCCTGGGTGAGGCTGAGCTGTCCCCTCTCTGTGCCCCCCTGCAGGGTACTGCGGAGGACCCGGGTCAACGGGGACAACCGGCTGTAGCCCATCCCGGCGGGCGAAAGCACCTCCAGTGCTTGTGAATCTCACAGCACGCTGTGAACTGGTTTCTATGGAAACGGCACTGCTATGGCCTACTTTCAGGCAGCTTTTCCAGTTTCTCTGCTGAAGTGTGTTCAAGTGGAGAACTAAAAAAAAAAAAAATAATATTGGAAAAAAAAACCCCACTCCAAAACCAACCCCAACCACCCCCCGACCTTCACCACCAAGCCCTTAATGAAGCGCGTCGGTGCAGACAGGCTGCCAGCCGCTGAGGTGAGAGACCAAACTGCCTATAATCACAAGGAGAGACCCAAAAAACCCCCATCCAGCCCTCTGTGTCGCTGCTCTGCCTGTATTCCAGAGATCCTGTGCAGCTGCCAGAGGCTCTGTGCAGCCATCCTTTGCTGTACTGTTCCCAGCACTCCAGGCAGGGGGGGACTTTGGAGACCGAGGCAGCAATAGCTGTGTCCTGGCATCGGATCTACTACCTGTATAGCCACTGCCTAAGGGTCCAGTAGTGAAACTCTGTGTTTACGGGGCCGCTCTAGCTTTAAACGACAATAAAAGTGTCAGTATTATGTGTGTGCTGGCTCAGGTGTCTGGTGGGCTGTGCCCTGCACAGGGGTGCAGCCATTCCTGAGGGGAGCTTGCACTGTTCTCTCCTTCCTCCTGGATTTAGGGGCTTTGCAGCTGCTGAGGGGAAAAATAATAAGCAGCAGCATCAGGTTTAATGTTTTCATTCAAAAGGGTAAAATGAGGTCATGTGCTACCACTGGCCATGCAGTTCTGAGCCAGCCTGGGGACAAACACCCCAGGATGAAGAAGAGCTCCCAGGACAGAGGTGTCTGAGCTCAGCATGTTGCTGGGTCACTCACTCATGGCCTTACCCCATCGTGCTCTTAAAACAAATGGGAAGGTTGTGATCAAGCATTCCCAGCCCTCTCCACGTGGGGCAGCTCCTGCTGTGATGCCCTGGGCTTAAGGGCATCACCACGGGCCTCCCCAGACCCCAGTGCAAGCACCAGTCAACTCACGCTTGTCTTTTACGCTCTTTATTTAGGAACAACCAAAAATGTCTGGTTTCATTTCAACAAACTGTACAAGCAAGCTCTTCCCCTCGCCCACCCTCACATCCACATATACAAAAGGAAGGGAAACTTGCCATTCACTTCTCAGAAGTGGCATTGTTGCTACAGGGAGTTCTTGCCCTCAGAATAAGAGCAGGTAAAGTCCATAGCAGGTACAAGCTACCCTAGCCCTAATAATAGCTACAGCCCACAATCACAGGCAGCTTCACTTTTTTTTTTTTCCCTCTTTAAAACCTTTACCAAAAGTAAAAACTATTTCCTGTTTCACACGATTGCCAAAGTGGCCATTTAAAATTGTGGTCTTGAAAAAAAACACAGTAACAACCCCTCTGGAACCCCCCACACCTCCCCAGTACAAAGACGGTTTACACAGCAGAGCCCTCGCTCTGCTCCCTCACTGCAAGGACACCCTTATGAAAGGTCCCATTGCAGCTACAATTACATTTTCCTTTGGATAAATCCAAGCAAAAATTCCAGGTCATTCAGCACCAGCGTGATTTCTAAATAACAATAATTAAAAAAAAAAAAAAAAAAAAAAGAAAAAGAGACCCCATTAGGCTGACTTTGTGGTCTGCTGAGAAACAAAGTGATCAACACACTGTTCCCAAAGTCTCTCTTTTAGTGCAATGTTAGTATGTGCAAGGGGAATCACAGCCACGTACCCATAACACCACCACGAGCCAGATGGGGCAGAGAGAAAGTGCAATTTTAGCTAGAAGTTTTCTATGCCATGGATTCCTAGCCCAACCCTCACTAGCACCAGTAAGCAAGAGTCCTCCTAACACTGCCCTCCATCAGTGCAGGTAAAAAGGGGCTTTAATTGTGCCATCAAAATATGGCCAATGTCAGCAAACAGAGCACTTGGGCAATAACCAGAAAACCCAAAATTTAAAAAACAAAAAAAAAACAAAAAAAAAACAAACCACCACACAAAACCCTAAATGTAAAACCTGCCTTCTACAGTTTCCTTCTTCTGTCAAGGGACACTTAGCAAAAATTAACCAAGCAGGTATCTTGCAGCTCCAGCCAGGTAAAGGGTTTCAGCTGCAGCAGCTACTGCTTTTGCTGGTTTCTTCTCATGGTGACCAACACAAATCCCTGGCAGGGAGGGGACATGAAGCCACAAAAAATACCTCCAATCACCTGTGCCCATCCTCCCACCAGATGCAGGCCTGGTGTCCATCAGCACTCACCTCTCAGGCAAGTGGAAATAGGAACCTGTAGATTATGGTTGGTTTAGTGTCCTGCTTTAAAAAAAAAAAAGAAAAAAAAAAGAATGATTTCCAGGATGCTAATTATGGACCTGAAAAATAAGGTACCCAAATGAAACACGGAGCCATGTCTAAGGCTGGCACAAATCAGGGTTTCGGGTTATTAAGCAATTGGATTGTGCCCTTAATCTAAGCAGTCTCAGAGACATAAGTAACAAGATTCACATGGATTAAAAATGATGGTTACTGCTGTGCCTGCCAAGCCCGAGCTCAGACAGAGCTGATGGAGGTGGAGAATATAATTTCCCTTCCTTACTGATGCTGGCTACATCACCTCGGTCTTACACCCCTCCTTTCAAGTCAAGATAGTCATCTTTGATTAGATGATGATAAATATTCACACACTGTGTAGAATTGTGGTGACACTTCCTCTTAACACCACAAGAGCTGCTGCTGGGACTGTCAAGCCACCTCTCAATTTTTCCTTTCAGTTTTGGATGCAAACACATTTCCAATGTCCTGCACCAAAACCCAAGTCTGTCTGGAGATGGCACCTGCTTCTCCTTCTCAACAGAGAAACAGGGGACCACAGAGCTAAACCCTCAAAAATCTTCAGCTTATACTTTTATGGAGATTTCAAGTCAACTAAAAAATGCAGATAACAAGGAATGTAGGAGTAGAAAGGGAACTTGATCACTTTTTGACTTTTTTTGTCTCTAAATCTCACCCTCCCCACGCAGTGGCGTTTGCCAGCCCCGTCACCACGTCCGAGGGGAGTCTGCATGGAACCACTTTTTAAAATTCCTTTGACCCAAAAGAAAGAAAACTCCTGCTGTGCTTGTATGAATGCATGGAGACAAAGCTCAAAACCCTCAGCAGCTTCCAACCCTCAAGGCTGTTTTTTCTGTGTACACCGGGAAATTCTCCCTCTAGCTCACAAGATTTCTTTTCAATTTTTCTGGAAAACTGGCTGAATATAATCCAAGTGCAAAATATTTCAGCTAGTGCATGGAAACGTGGTTTGAAGGGACCAGTTCATACCATAGTCCTTAAGCATTTCTGTAGATGGAGTGGGGAATCACTCTTCCAATTAGCCATAGGCCTTTAAGTGTACACCAAAAATCCCACAGAAAATCACCTTGAATGGGCAAACTACACTTCCAACATATTTATATAGCAAGTAGTTAGTAAAAGTGTACATTTTTAATGTACATCTTAATGCAATAAAGAATCAATGGCATATCTGAACTGTATATATGTGTACTTAAATAAACCTGCATGTACATAGACACTACAGAGTAAATTGACCTACTTGTATTTGTTCTCTGAAGGTGGCACTGCACATACACCCCCTAAGGCCACACGACTCACAGATCTGCTTTCCAGCTCTAGCCCCACCCAGATTCTCCCATCGCCTGTGATATTTTCGGGTGTGCAGGATTGCACCCGTGAAGGCGAACCCCTGGGGCTCTGGCAGTGCAGCCACCCCCAAGGGGAGCAGTGGGGATGAGCCAACACGAAGCCAAGGTGGGATGGCTGCTGGTCACACCTCCAACCATGCCATGACCATCAGCAGTGCTTCTAAAGAGACATTTAGGGAGCCTGGTGCCACAGCAGGGTGCTCTGGGTCGGTGCCACCCCTGCTCAGAGCATGGTGGGGATGGTCAACTCACCGCTACGGGATGGGCACAGTGTGAGTGGGTGCATCCAAAATATCACCCCGGCTCTCTGGGCTGCAGGTCACCTCCATCTGAAGCAGGTGGTCACACTTGGCCACGGGGATCATCCCCTGTGTGCCAGGGGGCCCCACAAACTCAGGCACAGGCACTCAGCATGTCCCGCCGGGCGAGGGGAAGCCCCTCTGCCAAAGCACTGAGCAGATACAGCCCCTTCCAGCAGCTGAGCAAGGCAGCCTCAAAGAGGGGACGAAGAAAGAATTGCAAAAGCAAGGGCAATTAAAGGTAGAAATCAGACACCATCTTTGGAAGAGGTTCTGAAAGAGCTTTTTTGTTTTTAAACCAGATTTTTTGTAAATCTCTGGATCCGATCCTTCAGGGTTTGCTACCCACCCTCCTAATAAATATCATTTACCACTAACAATAAAGTCTCCCACATTAAAAAGCTCTCACTAAATAAAAAACTTCTACTGAAAAAGCTTGGCTGAGTTGGCTTGGCAAAAATAAGGAGCTATGACTACTCTCCATAAATACATCAGCGGATAAACACCAAAACTATTTAAGTTAAAGGACAATGTTGGCTCCAAAACAAACCAGCAATGAACCAGCCACGAATTAATTCAAACTAGAAATTTAAATAAAGTTTCTAACCACTCAAAGGCAGTGAAGTTCTGGAAGAGCCTTCCAAGAGCAAAAGTGAAGGCAAGACATGGAACCAATTTGGAGCTGGGATTTGATTAGTTTGTGACAGAATGGTCTGACACAGCATTTGGCTGGACTATCTAGCTCAAGAGTTTCCCTTCTAGGCCTTGTTTTCTATTAGCAAAGGATATTTAAAAAAAAAAACCTTCAAGCAGTTGCATCACACAGCAACCACCCAGGACAACACACATTAAAAATGTACAGGTACCAGGCAGCAGGCAGGTTAACCGGGAAATTTATTTTGCTATTTTGCCAGAAACATTGCACATGGCCTGGAAAAAGGAAAAAAAAAAAAAAAAAAAAAAAAAAGAAAAAAAAAAGACTGGAACAAACACTTGAAGTCACCAGCAGTGCTCCAGGAGGATCTGCCATGTAGGGCTGCAAGAAGGAAACTTCCTGACTGCAGCAGAGCTGCTGCCTCGCCATCCCTTGGAGACAAAAATGACTTGAACCACTCACAGCCACGCTGCGATTCCCTGTGTTTGTTCTCTGAAGAACAGCCTGTTCTCTCTGAACAATGAAAAGGATTCCAGGTCAGGATGCAAAAATTATTATGTGCTAGTTCTCAGTGATTAAAGAGAGACTTGGAGATTTAATAGCCTGCTACAGTCAGTCTCCAGGAACACAGGGGAAAGTGTTCTAGCCAGCAAGGGACAAAATGACACCAAACTCCTGGGCTGCCTGGGTCTGGGAACCTGCTATTTATCAGAACAAGGCTGACTCTAACCTCATCTGTAGGGATTAAGAATCTTGCTCAACTTAAATTCAAGACTGGCAGTTTTCTTCTCAGATTCCTCTCCTAACACACACATTTGTTTGCCCACAAAGCCCTTCACTGCCAGGACCAGAAGGGGCAGAGAGGATATATGCAGCCATGCCAACCTTTAGAGAACAAACACCTTAATGAACAGATGAAAAAAAAAAAAAGGAAACAAGAAACAAGTACTATGCCATGATAGTCCATATCTAAGCAACGACCTTGTATACACAATGTCTGAGATTCGTTATGCTTGTATAGGCAGCTGTAGGCATCGGTATATGAATATGAAATCTGAAAGTCTGTCACTGGAAAGCAAACAGGAGCATCCTATTTCCCGGGTGCGAGCCGAGCCCCCGCCTCGGGCAGCCCTCGGCCGAGTCCCCGGCTGGGCCACGAGAGCTCGGCACCGAGGGCCCAGTCTGTGCACGTGCTGTCTCGTGTGCTGTGCCCAAAGGTCTCATTTATGGCAGTGCTTCGTCACCATGTCCTGCTCCCCAGGTTTGGATCAGGCCGGCCCGTGGGTTGCTTAAAGATCACAAATTTCTTCTCGAGGGTAAGAGCGGATCCTCCAGGGCTGGTGGTTTCAGTTCACTCTGTTTCTGAAAAAGAACAGAGGTGTCAGATGCTCCAGCCCGCTGTGAGGGCCTGCGACCCAGGTGGGATGCTGGGTGGGGAGGAAGGGGGGCAGAAGTGCCTCAGCATGGGCAAAATTGGGAGCCTTGACAGAGTCAGCTGCAGAAAAGGACAGCCCCACTCAGAGGAGCCAGGAAACACAAAATCCTGTGGAAGTGGAGCTGGCAGGGCTAAGGAGGGATGCAGCCTGCAGCAGCCCAAAGCTGTGCACACCCTTGCCGAGCACCTCCTGCCTCTGTGCCATGAGGGGTGACGGGACCACCTCACTCTGGATGGCATAAAGCCGTGCCCAGAGGGTGCTTGTAGGGGCACCTCCCTGGCACAGGTACAAAAGCTGGCCCACCATCCGTCCCCAAACCCACAGCTCCCTAGCAAAGCACATGAGGTGGTGATGCACAGCCAGACCCAGCAGCTGCAGGAAGGGCAGGGCCCTCCGAAACCCACAATCCACCTCCTCCAAATTAGATGGAGAAGGGAAGCCATGAATTTTACCTGATTTTTACAAATTTTTTTCTAAGGCCTGCAGCCATGGCAGAGCCTCAAAGCAAGGCAGTGAGGCCAGACAAGATCCCAGTTGACCAGCAAGGGGCTACATGTATGGACCATGGTGGGATGGGGCCGGTGCTTGGCCATCCCCATCTGGTGAGAACCTTGCCAGGGAGGAAATGGCCCCCAGCTGCACTACGGAAGAGCCCACAGAGGGCTTGGAAAGCACCTCTCCTCCACACACACGCCTTCCAAAAGTGAGCCCAGGTGGGGGTATGGAAGGAGCTAGTGGCATGGGACAAGTAGCCAGGCCCCTTCCTTCCCAAACACCTATCCCCTTCATAAATCCTTGGGCCACTTTCCCACAGGGCAGATAAAAGGACCAGACACTCCTGCTGTTTTACTTAGGCTTGAGATAAAGCCAAGATTTGGTTTCTGAGCGGTGTCAGCACCCAGTGACCAAGGCAGAAAGGGGCAGGCAGGCAGTGGCACTTATGTCACCCCTCCTGACCCTCCTCATCCTCCTTCCTTTCCTCCCTTCTTTCACAGCAGAGTTCCTCACCGCTTCCTCAGTTAAATCTCAAACACTAAACCCTTCCCTGAAGCCTGTTTCCCAAGTGGGAGAGGCCCAGTGCCCCACGGCCACCCCATTCCCCCACGGAGCCAGCCCTGCCGAGGCAGGGGCCTTACCCAGCCGCGTGGTGGGCGGCGGGCCGGGGGCGTCGGGGGTCCCTGCGCTGCCCTCCGGGCCGACCGGCTCCCACGCCTCGCTGCTCTCCGACGCCTCCGCGCCGGCTTCGCTCGGCCCTTTGCGGTTCCCCGCGGCCCTGCCGGCACAGGCCTCCTCCGAGCCAGAGCCCCTGCCTTCCTCCTCTGCCTTCATGGCAAACCACACCTTGAGCTGCTGGGCGCCGAGGCGGGAGCGCTCGCACAGGCCGGGCACGTCCTCCTCCCGCAGCCCCTTGTGCTTCTCGTAGTAGTCCTCCAGCACCTCTCTGCTGGCAGGGTTGACCTCCACCAGCCCCGGGGGGAAGACCCCCCGCCGGTAGTTCTCATACCACTTGAGCTGCCCGTTCTTGTAGCCGTACCGGCTGTCCCCGAACCAGCGAATGACCTCGGCCCGCGGCAGGCCCGTCTGGGACACGATGGCGTCATACTCCTGGTTCGTGGGACGCTGGGTCTGCACGAACATTTGCTTCAGCAGATGCCGCTGCTGGGCCGTTTTTTTGAAGTTCAGTTTGGTTTTGGGAGGGGTGGGCGGCCGGCTGGAGCTGCCTTCCCCCTTCTCGTTTGCGCCGGTCCCCGGTACCTCGTTTTTGCCGTTGGACTCGGTCACTCGCAGGTTCTTCAGGTTGATTTTGATGGGACTCACCTTCCGCTCTGCTGAGTTCGCGTTGTTGCCAGAGGCGTCGACTGAGCCGTTTTCACTCGCAGCTCTCTGCTCATCCGAGGAGTCCTCCCCTTCCCCGCCGCCATTCTCTGCCTCCTCCTCTTCCTGTTGAGTAGCCTCTTCCACTTTCTTGTTTTCCTCCGCCACCTTCTTCTTCCTCCTCTCCGAGAACCAGCTGTCAATTTCCCTCCGTGTCATCTTCGTTTCCCCCCTCAGGCGGTTCACCTCTTCCTCTGCAGGAAGAGGATTTTGGGCAAAACTGCTCTCTAGGGCCTTCAGCTGCTCTGGTGCCCGCTCCTTGTATTTGGTTGGGGTGAAGTCAGGCGCCTGGTGCCACGACTGCCGTCGCGGCGGGTGCTGAGGGGCCGGTGTGGCCGCCACCGCCGCAGGGCTCAGCTCAGCTCCTCTGGGCGGGACATCGAAGGTGATTTCGGGCAGGGAATCAAGAGCACTGTCTCCAGGGAAGACGGCCCGGCCGCCTCTCACGTTCCTGTAGTGGTACCTCCTATCGCTGAACCATTTTCGGATCTCCTTGGTGGACAAGCCCGTGATCTTTGTCAGCCGCTCCACTTCAGCCTGACCGGGGAACTGGTTTCTGCAGAAGCTGCCTTTAAGGGCTGAGAGCTGCTCGTGGGACTTCTTGTTTTTGTAGACATTGGGATCCAGGAAGGTCTGCGAGGAGATGGCAGGGCAGGCGGTGAGCAGCGACTGGGCGCTGTTGACCACCTTCACCCCCGAGGCGCTGCTGGAGCTCACGGTGCTGTGCTGCGCCGCCGGCTGCGGCTTGGGGACAGAAGTCACTGCCAAGGTGAAGGAGGAGCTGGTGCCCTTCAACCCATTTGCCATGATGGGCTGCGTGACCAGCAGCCCCCCCGTCCCCTCTGGCTGCCCCACCACGTGGCCTGGTAATGTTGCCTGGATAAGATGGGGGACACTCCCGGGATTTGCAACCAGTGGGGTGTTCAAAACTGTAATGGTGGGTTGTGGCACGGACTGAATAACAGTGTTGAACATCTTCTTCCTGGCATCTTCGATCTCCTCCGGTGACCAGCTGATGCCCTGCTTCAGCCTCTGTGCAGTGAACCAGATCTTCAGCTGCTCTTCTGGGTACTTGGTCACCACAGTCAAGTAGCAGAGCTCAGCTTTGGTGGGATAGGGAAACTTGTGGAAAGAGTTTTTCAGGAAGCTGTTGGAGTCCATGGCGGCATTGTACGTTGGAATGCTGCTCAGGGGAATCATCACCTTGGGAAGGGACTTGGATGTAGGCAGCTGCTGATGCAACGGGGGTTGCTGCTGCAGCGACACAAGTTGTGCAACCCCTGCCTGCAGAACAGGCACGTTTCCTATGATGGAGCCATTCACTATGTGGGATGACTTCGTTGAACTTGCAGTGGGCTGACTGACTGGCACGGACCCGTTTGGGAACGAATGCTCCCCATCCTTCACCTCTGACTCACCGCCCAACTGACTTGACACACTCTCCTTCAACGTGTGGATTTTTTTGGCCTCGGGTTTACCTTTCATTATCTTCATGATGGGGGTTTTGGTAATGATGATTTCAGACTGGCCGTCTGCCCCTTCTTCAGGAACCTCTCCCGGGAGGTCGTGGCTGCTGGTGGCCTCACAGAGACTCTGCTCCACGGTGGTACGGCCGTCCTGCTTAGCCACCCTCCAGACAAAGCCCGTCTCGCCGTCGTGCGACTCCGCGTTGTGGTGCGAGAGCCCCTCGTGGCTGTTGGCCAGGAAGCCGCACGGCACACACGCGAACGCGGGGTCTTTGCCAAAGTCCGAGTGCTCAGAGTCCAAGTGCCCGAAGAACTGATGAACGTCCTGGGATCCAAAGTCGCAAGACTTGCAGATGTAAGTGTCGCTGTCGGCAGCACCGCGGTGCCCGTTGGACAAAGCTCCACTGCTGCTGTTACTGGCACCAGCATCGCTCGCCGCCGGCCCTTCCACGGGAGCCTCTTGCTGTGTTCCTTCATGATCATCTTCCACAGCGTCCTGCTCGGTCTCCTGAAGCACCAGCGTTTTCACTGGTATCATGCAGGGAGTTGTGGATTTCCTTTTGCTAGCCATCACGATGATTGATCCAGATGATTACTTTTTTTTCATTTAAATTAAATTCAAATTTAAAAAGCGCTATTGCAAGTGCTCTGCGGTCCGGATTCCAGCAGATTCATGATGTCAGAAGGAGCTGTTGTCAAATGTTGACAAATGTTCATATTTGCCACCGAACCTGAGGACAAGGAGAAGAAGGGGTTAGTTCCTCTGGCATTTGACAAAGCACAACTGTCCTGGTATTTAACTGTTTCCCTCAATAAATCATTTTTCAGCCAGTTTTGCTTGAAAAATTTAACTTGACCTTGAATTTACTGTATTTTCACACCTACAGCCTGTGAATTATCTGTTTAAAAATAAACATGCCTCTTTTACAGCCTGCATCAAATTCTCATTTGAGGAGGAAAACCACTGAATTTTCCACTCACCCTGCCCTGCCATGACCCATCTCTGGTGTTTTGGCAGGGAGAGCAGTGCCCAGGTTCCCTGTGTGCCCGGGCTCCCTGTGTGCCCGGGCTCCCTGTGTGCCCGGGGTCCCAGCTCAGCCCCGCACAGAAGGTGATACCAGACAAGGGCACCTGGAAAAGCCGCCCGCTTTCCATCAGAAGAACCTAATGAAAAATCCACACATTCCCCACAGAACACTTCAATTTCTTCAAAATCAGCATTTTCCACCCATCCCGTCGGGAAGTTTCTCGCCAGCTCAAAGCACTGTGCCCGTGCCAAGAGCCTCTGCCTGCAGACACCGGAGCTCTGCTGCAGGGAGCGAGGGGGCTGCACACTGGAACACATCTTTTAGCTCTCCCTGCTCAGCAAGCCTGCAAAGCATTTGGGAGATTCCCTGCCCACCCTCTGCACACTTCATTACTGTTTCAACAGCATCTGTGAGTCTTCATCTGGAGCTGCAAGAGAAGGTAGAGGCTCCAAAACTCAAGGGCAGCATCACAATGTTCCTGGCTCCCAGCCTTCCCCTCCCACCACCTCTGCAGCTTTTGGCACTCACACCACTCAATGCACTGGGGATATTCCCTAAGAAAGTGTAATTCCTTGTTAAGGCAAGCCCATCTTGCTGCCCTTGGGGTGACCAGAGATTTAATACATTTAAAAAACAAACAAAAACCCAAACAAACAAACAAACAAACAGAAAAGGAATAATATTTTCTCTTTTGTTTTTGTTTGTTGTTCTTTTTTCCCTGAAACTAACTAAAGCAGATCCCAAACTGCTCCAGCCTGTGGAAGGCCAGGGCTGGCCGGGGCATTAGCCATGACCTTACTCCTGGCCTGATGTAGCCTCCACGTGTGCACAGTGAATGCTCTGTGCCTGAGATCATGACCCAAGGGCAGTAAAGCTGCTGTAGCTGGCACCAGGAATCACTTGCCTGGTGACACCCCTCTGTCAACCTTTTCTACAGCAACTCTGTTTTTTTTTTTCTCTTAAACAGAGGGATAAAACAGTATTTTTCCAGACTGCAAGGTCACTTGGAAGCACATGGACACACTGATTCATACTACAAAGACTCCGTGCCAGATTTTTCTGGGACTTACAGTAATAGAGCTTTATAAAAACACTCATAAAAACTTGAACTCAAAAAAAAAAAAATTACTTACCATCCTAGGAGATGACTCACAGAGGTAACTCCTATCAGTTACACCAGTTGTGTACCAGTAGCTTTCTCAGATCAGATATCTGGAGCTGATCTCATGCACTGAGAAATGCAGATCGGGCAAATGACTTGGTGGTGCTTATGCAATACCTCCTGTGCTTAGTTTTGTCAGTAGTTTTTAGAACAGAGGAATGAAAGGTCCTTATGAAAAAAAAAAAAATCAAACGGAGGAAGTAAAATTTGACCTCCCCAACTTTACTGGATTTTTTTAAAAAAATTGTTCTGAAAGCTGGCATCATTTTCTCCAAATGGGAGAGCCTGGATGGCCAGCTCTGGCCTCAGCAACTCTCCAGCACCGTTTGAAAGACTGATGGGAAAACGCAACTTCCCGTCAATGTGGGCTGATCTGAGATTACAAAACAGTCCTGTAAATAGTGTTAGTCATCACTGAACTTGGCATCAGAAAAGACTGCTTGCTATGCTAAAGCTTTGTGAAGGGCTAGAAATTACAACTTTTAAAAAAATATCTATAAATAAAACAGGTATTAAAGCTGTGAGCTGGATTTAGACAGCGAGGACTGCACGTCTCAATACCTGCTTTATGCTGCTCTCATCCCACCTTCCTGTGGTTAGTCCTTCCCTCTGCAGAGGGCCAGAAAGTTATCCATTAGCATTAGCAAGTGGAATACTTGGATGACTATGAATGGCCTGTGCTATTCAGAGGGGAACAGCATCCATTTGACACCAATCCTGAGATCCTCATTTTTGATGCTAAGTTAAATATTACACAGTCTAGCAGGGTGCAGTGACCTTTCCAAGCCGAGTCAATTAAGGAAAAAACAATAAGACCAGCCTGAAAGCTACAAAATACAGCTGAGAGAAGTTCCATGTCAGGGAAGCCATGGTAAAAGAGAATTCTTATTTCATTTTATCCTGCAGCTTTGACACAGGGAGAGGCTGCTGGGCCCTCTGCAAGCTTTTTCCTTTCAAGCAAACTCCAGATAGAGATCCAGTTCCAGAGTCTCCATTACTGAGACAGCTCAAGTCCCAGACCGATCTTACCCAGTGTTTATGGAGTCACCAGATATCAAAAAAGATGATTTTTATCTGTCAGCAGAGTAAATTTGATACAGGGCACCAGCGATACACAAAGACCCCCATTGTGCCCCGTTAACAAAGTGCCTCTCCCGAGCACTCCACTGCTATTATTTTGAGTAAATGTGAACGGCCTGACCCACCTACAGAGAACCTAAAAGCTCTGCATTTCATTTACCAGCACATTTGCATCAAGCTCTGTGTTCCCTCCAACAACTTTCCTTAAAAATGCAATCAAAGCAGCCCCAGCCACCGCAGCTCTCCTGCGGGGCTCCAATATTAATGCCACCTGAGAACACAGATTGCAAATTTAGCTGGAAGTGAATCACAGTGGCAATTTACTGGAGAAAAAAAAATTAATCAAGTGTACTGTTCGTCCATTTCATTTCCATGGAACAGTTGCATAACCACATGTTGGGAGTGTGTTTTATTCACTGCTCACCTTCTGGAATGCACTTAATACTTTAATACACCGCTAATACGTAACAGAATTGATAATTCACCTATTTCTTCACCATTAAAATAAGTGAGACTGTTTTAATGGATAGGGTAAATTAATGGGAGTAAAATTAATCAGTTGAAAAACATCTTTACAACTGATCTCAGTACATAAACCACCACTGCAGATGCCTCAGACCCATCTGCACAGCCATGAGTGAAGAACTCCATTTCCTATGTATTATTTTATGATTAACTGGAGCAATGAGCCATTAGCTACCTGGCAGCCAGGAAGACAGAGGGATTGTACTTAAATTCATGGTTCTTATTTCATTTATACCTGCTAATTTCATGGTGAGGTAGCAGAGTAAGCAGAGCAAATGACCAGCACACCTAAACCTGTCACTGCTGTTGGAAATTTGAGGGAAGGTTGACTTAAAGCAGAGTCAAACCAATTCTCTGTGATGCTCACCGAGAAACTAATGCTGGAAGGAAAGATGGACCAAAGGCTATTTTGGCCACATGCAATGCAGAAAATCACACCAGAGGAGGAAGATAGAAGCTGTGAAATCCATCATCCCAATCCATGAGAACAACACAGCACTTCTGCCAGAGACAGTCCTAAACCTACAGCACTGGTATGATCAACCCCCTCCTGTAACGCTCCCCAAAAAAACCCTCTTTCCTCCCAACACAGGAGCCCTCCCAGCCTCATGGGCAGCTCCAGGTACACACCACCAACCCTCTGCAGAGCAGCTTTGCCTCCACTGAGGGAAACAATGCCCAGACTGGTCACAGGGAGCTTTGCAATTGCAGAAAATTTACTTCTGCAGAGATTAACAAAGGGAGGTTTCGAAATCTGCACTGCTGAGTATGAACTTTCAGCTTTTTCCAGCTTGGCTGGATATAACTGGTTTGGTTTTAAATGTTTCACTGAATTAACGAGTTAGGTTGTTAATGCAAAACATTCCTTCCTCACAGTGCCAAGGTCCCCAGTTAGAAGATTAATTTTTGTGACCTTTTGCAAACCTCGCCTAGAAACAACAACCAGAAAACCCACCAGGCAGCATCACCAGCCAGGACACAGCAGATCCAGTCCCACTACCCGGGCACAGGGATGCCAGGACAGCTGCCCTCCTCTGCCCCCAGCCCAGGCAGCTCCTGTGTGCCCAGGTTGACAGCAGGAACAAGGCTCCATGCAGACACAGGAGATGGCTCCGTGCTCTGCAGGCTCTGGTGCTCTGCTGAAGAGTGAATGCTCCATTAAAATAAAATGAAATTAATAAAAAATCGTATTTTTTAAAAAAATCAACACCAAAATAGAAGTAAAATAACAGTTTTCTCAACACTTTCAGTGCCTGCTAAGCAGGCAGACACGCTCCCCAGGTCAGAGACAAAGTTGATGTTTCTGTCTCATATGGAGCCAAGCACAATATTGGCACTTTAAATAAAAGCAGTTTGTTTTCAAGCTGAAACTCTGCAGGCCCCAGCTGATAGCATCATATTGGGGGGGGAAGATGAAAAAAATCAAAGGAGGAAAAAAAAGTTGATGTTTCTGAGTTTTTGTCTCTCCCCTTCAGGCTCTACTTCCAGCCAGGCCCAGAAGATGCAGGGCTGTCTTTGGGAATTCCACAGATGACTTCCCAACTCCCACTGTAATTAGCAAGGCCATTAAATAAATTATCCCTGTGGCCAACACCAGCAACTGGATGCTCTCTGCAGCACCCAGACCAGAGGGCTGAGCTGCCTTCCCCTTCCCAGCACCAAGCATCCCACTGTGTGTCACAGCAGGTCCCCAGCCTGGCAGACACTCCGTTTGCCCTGGGCAGCACTGGGTGCATTTACCAGGGTGCTGGGGAGGGAAGGAAGAACAGCTCCATGGCCGCCCTGCTGCCAGCTATGGCAGGCCTGGGACTCTTCCTCTTTGGCTGGGCATTAACGTTCATCCTCCATTTGGAGGCTGTTCACGAGAAGTCATGTAGGAGCTTCACCAGTTTGATTAATTTATTGCCAAAACATGCCCGGTGGGGGCTATTGCCAATCCATTGCAGGGACACGCTGTGTGGATAGACATGCTCTGGTAATTCACAGACCTCTCCAGGCCCCATCCCCGGGATTCAGTACAGGCACACACAGAGGGAACAGAGCACCTCTCCACAGAAACTTCCAAGGTGTGGACGGGACCTCTCTTTCAGCTGGGCCAGCACAGCTCTCTGACAGAGAACAAAAGGCATGATTTGGCAGGGCTGAGCTTCTCTGTTCCCAGTCTGTGGCTGTGCATCCCTGCTAGCTGGAGTCCAGCATCCTCCCTGAATATCTCTGCAAAGCCTGCAGCTGGGAGGAAGTCACAGGATGGGAACATCTCCAGCAGCCTAAAAATGCCAGCAGCAGAGCATCACCCCAGCTCCCAGCACACATCTCCAGCCCTCACCCAGGGCTGGCACCTGGAGGTAGCATCTGTCACCCAGAGCCTGGTTCATAATCCAGACCGAATTCATGACACACTTAATTCTTTTGGGGTTTAACCCCACACAGGACTGAAAGTTCCCATCAATGAGATTTCCCCCTCCAGAACAGACTAGTACCACACTACCCCTGCAGGCACTCAAAGCCCAGGTGATCTCAACACGAACCAGGAGAGCCACCAGCAATACAATAACCACAACCCCGAAGGGGCCACACAGCCAAGAAAAGCCTCGTCACATCTTATTCTTTTGTGCTGCACAAATGTACAAACACACGCACAAATTTCAGCAGTTTTGAGCTTCAAGCAGCACCACAGTCAACATTTGTACTAAGGAACAATTTCTCTTTATACCAACTGGTCAGGGTGCTTTGTAGCTTAAGCCTGGCTTCGAAACCACGGGTACAGTCTAAATGCAGTGGAAGCCGGTTGACCGAACAATCGAATTCATTCTCCATTCCTTGGCAGGCCTAGAGCAGAAAAGCGTCTTTTCCATTTAGGCCAGTTAAACAGAGCTATTCATTAAAATTTCACCCTTCTCCAAACTGCTGGACTTCTCCATTTAAAATCTGCCTTTAAGAGAAGCCCTCTCTCCCCTGCCCCACAATGCTCCTCAGCTCCCGTCTCAGGTTGTCACCCTTTTCAAGCTGTTCCCATTTCGGATTGCTCTCGTGCTCCTCTAACAGCAGCACCTCACCTGTGTGTTGGTACCTGGGCAGAGGCTGCCTCAGCACTTGGGGACTAATGGCAGTTATCTCTGCCTTTTTTTTTTCCCAGACAAGCACAAAACTGAGCAAGATGGAAGGTTAGAAAGGGCTGGCTGAAACAGAACACGATTACAGTATAAAAATAGGTCACTGGGATAATATAACCTTTAGACTATTGGCAATGTGCCCCCCTTAGAGACAAGCCTGTGTGCTGTATTTCAGGAGAATGTGAGGAATAAAAAACAACCACCCCGACACACATCCAAACAAAACCACTGATCAGTCCTTGGAGCTTTGCGTGCTTCTGTTTGAACATCACTAACACTAATTCACTCCTTTTCCTCTGCCCTCATCCATTTGATTGAGCACAAAATAAACGTTATGCAATCACACCATTAACATCTTCCAAAAAAGTAATAATCTCTTTTGGCATAGAGGCTTCATTACAGATTTACTCTGTGTTACACTACCTTAGCAGAGTTCACAGTCCCAGCATCCCAGGGACCCACCTCCATAGCTTCAATCCTCACATTTTATCCATGTTGCAAAACATTCCTGGCATTCCCCCAAAGGAAAAGGTCCAGCAGACAGATAATCAT